TGTGCATTCCGCCAGCGATTCCGTGGATGACCCCAGAGTCAGCGGCAGAAGACGGCGCCGACCCCGCGCCTTGCCTGCCGCCGCTTTCAGAGCCAAGGGCACAGCAGTGTCGTTTCCTGCAGCTGAGCCACTGTTGCTAGGCAACAAAGACGCGTCTGCAGCTTCCGGCTCATTAGAGGAGGAATCCTCTCCAGCCCCCTCGGCCCCCCTGCCGCTTCCACCGGCCTCCCCACTGCCTGAAGCCGAGACGGTCCCTGTTCCAGATGGTGCTGAAGACGGCACCGAACCCACAGGACCCTCGGAGCAGCCCGCAGCCGCTCCTACACCCAGCGTGATTTCCCCCCCGAGTGTTTCGGGTCATCCCAGGGCTGCCCCTGCAGCCCCTGTGGGGCGAGCTGGGACAGGGGAAGAGGGCGTCAGTCACTCCTTCCATGGAACCGGCGCGGCTCGACAGCTGGGGCGGGGGGGGCAGGCCGCCTGCCTGCTTTCAAGATCAGCATTCTCGGTGGGTTGGGGAGTTTTTGGTCAGTTGCTGTCCCTTAGAGGTTGCCATCTCTGCCTTTCTTTTGCACCCTAGCGGCAGGGGGCAGGTGCGTCCCGAGAGTTCTGCCTTTGGTCCCCAGCCCGGAGGGGGTGGTGCCATGAGGCAGATGGGAGACACACCTGATGCATTTGCGTTGCAGAGGGAGAGGGCACAGCTGGAAGAGACCATGGCTTGTTTGCTGTGGGGAACAAACATCTCCAGACCCAAGACGAGATTTCTGGGGAAGGCTTCTATTTCCCTGCTGCTGGCATGCCTCAGTGGTTTTGGGGAAAGGAAGTGTCTCACCACCCATGCTGCCATTGTACTGGCAGCAGGGTGCAGGCCTGTGGGAATGCCGAGCCTGCTTCGTGGGTTTGATCTGGGCTGTTGGGCTCAGGAAGTTTCTGGGCCAGGACCACTGCGTGGCCTCCTGATGTCTCTGGGAGTTGTGGTTTCTCCTACCGGTCCTGGCCCGCCTTTTGTGGGCCAGCTTTGGGGTTCCTGGTCTGTTCAAGGGCCAGGGCCCCCAGGACCTTTCTTTCTCTGGCTTTGGCTGCTTTGCTGCTGCTGCTCTTTTCGACAGAAAAAAAAAATTAAAAATTAAATAAAAAAAGATTGAAATAGCTGGCAGCAGCTCTGAAGCATTGAAGCATTGAAGGGCCAGAAAAGGACATTCCACAAATTGTTCAAATTGTTTGAAATAGTTTGAAATTGTTTTATGACCGTCAATGGTTTTTGATAACTATTGATGGGACTTTTTGCAGAAAGCCTGTTTCAGGACCAAAAAGGACTTTCAGATATGTCCAAGAAGAACATTTTCAGCCCATGGACTGTTCCTGAAACTCAGCTGCTTAGACTTGAATTTTCTTTGTGTTGTTTTTTGCCTTTTCTTAGATTGTAAGATTGTTTAAGTAATTTGTTAGTATTGTATGTTATACAGGTGAAGAAATTTCCTGTTCATTCCATATCAGCATTTTTATTTTTAGTTTATATAATTTGGAAAGGTAAGATGTCATGGACATTCTTTCATAAAAATCCTTTCTTTTAGGAATTTTCCTCTTCTGGGAAGCTGAGGCCCCAGAAGAAAAATGTAAACAATTATTATCTGCTGCTGTGGAATGTAACAGGTGCATCTGTGATTGGTCTTCTGTGAGTGTTTGGATTTGCTGACCACTCACGGGAGAGTTTGTCCTTGCTTTCTGCCTGGACACAGAACTTTGTTATTCATTCCTATTTCTATTCTATTCTTAGCTTAGTAGCTTCTGAACTTTTCTCTGTATTCCTTTTAGTATAGTCATAATGTATTATATATCATAAAATAATAAATCCAGCCTTCTGATCATGAGACCAAGATTCTCGTCTATCTCTCTCACCCTGAGGAACCCTTGCAAAGCCATGTAACACTGTGATCTCATAATTCCATGAGTTTCAAACCTTGAACTTGATGGTCTTGGAGGCTTTCCCCAACCTCAGCTATTCCATAACTCCACGATCCAATCATTCCCAAATCCCAGGATTTTCAGAGGTCAAACTTGATGTTCTTGGAGATCTTTCCCCACATTTCCCCCGTGAATTCCAACCAATCCTCACCTCTCCGTTTTCCCTCCCTCCAGCGACCTGCACGCTCCGTTGGAAAGCTTGGAATTGGCCTTCTGCTCCATCGTTCCTGCCGACATCGCCTTCCTCTGTCAAAGAGTCTCTCCATGGCTCCAAAATTCTGGGATCCCAACATTCCATGATCCCACATTCCACAATTCCATTAATTACGATCCCAGATCCCATGATCCCAGAACTCCATGATCCCATCATTCCGTAATTCCATTAATTTCAGAGCTTGAACTTGATAGTCTTGGAGGTTTTCCCCAACCTCAGCCAATCCATAATTCCCCAATTCCACGACCACACAACTCCATGACCCCATAATCTCATGGATCCATAATTCCATAATTCCATGATCCCATGATCCTCAGATGTCAAACCTGATGGTGTTGGAGATCTTTCCCAACCTCAGTAATTCCATAATCCCATGATTTGATTCCACAATTCCATGATCCCATAATGCCATGATTCTCCAACTTTGACCTTGATGTTCCTGGAGATCTTTCCCAACCTCAGCCATTCCATAACTCCAAGATCCCATCATTCCAAAATCCCAGGATTTTCAGAGGTCAAACTTGGTTTTCTTGGAGCTCTTTCCAATCTCAGCCATTCCACAATTCCATGGCTCTGTGAACCCATAATTCCATTATTCTCAAACCT